TAGGAAATCTGAGAAAATCTGTCAAGATTCCAATCCATATTAATTGATTTGGCAACAAGGCGGCGGACGTTGGCGGTGCATGCAGTACCGGAAAATTGGGATAAAAATAAAATAATAAAAAACTTTATTCTTTTTAGTTCAAGTGTTTTTGTTTCGTATTTAGTCAATGTGTTTATATGAACTTTTATGTGTAAGCTGAGTTATAATAATTTGTGATAAAAATGGGAAAACTTTCGGAAATGCCGAAAATTATATTTCCGTTTCGACGGAAATCTATAAAATATCGTGCTAGATTACTTAGAAAAAGACAAACATTAGCACCCCTTCTAAGCATTAAAGTTAAAATATATGGGAAATTAATATACTAAGTATTGAATAAAAAAAAAACCTTTAGCTTTAAAGCAATATTTACAAATTTAAAGCGGATATCCAATAAATGTGGTTTATTTGTGGATTCTGAATATGGTTTTTAGGTTCCGACGGTTTATTAGGAACAGACAGTATTATCGAAATTTAATATCCTGCCACTGCTTCAAAACTGACTCCGAAAAAAGCAATGGTTGACAACATAATAAAATTTGCAATTATTAATGATAATGCGAAAATGCAATAATTGTTCAGGGGCAATTTAACGTAACTAAACGAAATATTTTTTTTTTTATTTATTTTAATACCTTTAAGTATGTTAGTAGAAAAAATAAAAAAGATGATAGATTTTGGTGTATATGGAAAACAAACTAAAGCAATTTTATTTAGATTGTATACTACCCGAGATCTTAGATCCACGTTTCCCTAGAGGTTTAGATATTAGAAATTTGAGTAGAAATCCGAGTAGAAATCCGACCAATAGTCAATAAAAATGATTATTTTTATTCCTTCTTTTACTAATAATAAATCATTTTACTCAATGTTATTTTTAAATATTTTTAGTACTAGAAAACAATTTTTTCTACACCCAAATGGATAGCGTATCTACGTACAGACTACAAAACGAAAAAATATGCTATTGCGTAAAATGAGTTATACTTGTGTAGAATCGATAAATAATAGCATTTCTAGTTTTATTTCGTCCAAATTTATAAACAAATCTTAAATTTTAATCAAACCATATAAAACTAATTTAATTACAAGTATTAGAACTATAATGGCAAGTGTGGCGACGGCACGGAGTTTGTCTCCAAGCGAGAGACCCGAGTTCCAATCATGGCTGGGGACTAATTAAATTAAATCTTTTTGTATGTTTATTTTATTTTATAAATTATTAAAAGTCATACATTATTTTAAAATTATTTATTTTGTCTTAATAAATTACTTTTTTAAATTTGTAGAATTTCGTTAGGGTGTCGTAGAAAAAATATACTGTACAACTCGAGTGGATTGTCTGTATCGCACTCAGACGATTAAGCACTCCGTCTACGGCGTCGTTCTGAAACTTCGTCTTCGTGCGATATGGCCATCATATCCAATTTTGTTGCACAAACTACTATTCACGCACAGACTACAAAACGAAAAAATATACTATTGCGTTCAACTCAACGAATATATTTCATATCCATTCTGGGTAGTGAGAACACTGCAAAAAAATAAAATCCACCAATCACAGTTTATATATTGGACACCCAACAACTATTATTTTTAAAATTTTAAATAAGTTACAATTCTGTCAAACTAATTGTCAGTATATTTTTTAGGAATTGAGATTAAATATACATTAAAATGAGTTATTTTTGCGTAGGATTCATAAATAATTTTAATTTGGGCCACAATTTAAAAAATCCTAAATTTGAATTAAACTACCTATATTAAACTAATTTAATTACTACTTTTAGAACTAAAATTTTAAATGTGGAGGTGAAAATGATGATACGGCATCTGTCTTTCACGCGAGAGGCCCGAGTTCAAATCTGGGCTGGAGACTAATTAAATGAAATATTTTTTCATGTTTATTTTATTTCACAAATTAGTAAAGTCATAAATTATTTTAAAATTAATTATTTTGTCTTTTCCTAAAATAATACTTTAAATTTGTAGATTTTCGTTAGTGGGTCGTAGAAAAAAAAACATACTGTACAACTCCAGTGGATTGTCCACTGTTGTTGCACAAACTAGTATCAAATGGGTTATTATTTAAAAAACGTATTTTTATACAGGGTATTTGTAAATAAGTACGAACAATTTTTACAAATTGTTATCAAAGTTATTTTGTTAAAAAAAGTTCCTATAAAAGTAGGTCGAAATATGCTTCGTTTCCGAGATACAGAATGTTTAAATTTTAATTTATTAAATTTTATTAATTATTTTTAATAGTTTTAAAGATATTTACTCTAAATTTGCAAAAAAACTTTGAAGGGGCAAATGTGTATTTTTTGGGGTGTTCCAAATATTTCTACTTGTACCAGTGGCGTTTGTGCGAGAATGCCACTTTTTTAATAAAAAAGTACTGCGCCACTAACTTTTTCGATCTATGTTTTTTTTATAAAATAACTTCGGCAAACATTCCCTAAAATCATTCACACTTACCAACAAACACCCTGTATATAAGAAAATGTAGAAATAGGTACATATGTATATTTAAAAATATATTTCGTAAATAAATAAATTAGTTATAAAAAAAATTTTTCGAAAATGTTACACCAGGTTATACCTTTAAAAGTTATTTTAAACGAGAAAACAAAACAGAAATACTCTTTGTTAGACCGGACCTGCGATTTATCGGCATTTTTAATATTTTAAATCATCTATAGTTTATAAGTAATAGATTGAAGGGAGCGTAAGCCTGGGAATAGAGCAACGTTGCCAAAGTGGGTTCAGATGCACTGAAAGTTGACAGTGTGTTCTAAATCTGAATTTGCTGTTAGGTGTTGCATGGATATCGCTCTTAAATAAAAACATCGATGTTAACTAATAACATCGGATAAAAAACATCGATGTAAACATCGAAAATCGAAACCGAAAACTCGATGTATTTTAAACATCGATACATCGTGCGCATCCTCATCATTGGAGTTTTATTCTGATTAAACTGTTTCTTCGTTTTTGTTTTCTAATTAAACTGTGTTTACCTTTTCAACTGATAACTACATATAAACACAATCTAGCTACTTTTATTAAAGTAAAATGTACTTCAAATCTATTTTAATACCCAAATTTCAAAATTATTGTGGCAGTGAGGGTGTCCGGCAGCGGCATAAGGGGGACCCGGCACCTTTAGGTGAGAACTTTTTTATTTTTTTAGAAAATCGCCCACAAAAGGGAGGAGAGCTGGTTACGTAAAATACAAGATGAGAACGAGGAGACGTTTTTGATTGACTTTTTTTTATAAAATTGTCGCAGGGCCCGACCTGGCTCTCGGCGACCCTGCCTAGGTAGGAGACCTCTGATGACCCTCGAAAGAAGTCAACGTAGACGTACCTACGTAGTTTTGTAATACATTTAATAAAATAAATATATTTATTTTTGGATCACCTATCTTACATAAATAAATATTTATAATTTGTAGGTAGTAAAAATGTAAATATATATAATTTTTTTATTTAGTCAAAATAATTAATTTTACTTGGCAATACACACTCTTCACATTTAAAATAATATAAAAATACAGTATATAATCAATCAATTAACATACATTTAAAATGATAAAACAAAGTCAGCTTTACAAGACATAATAAAAGAAAAAGAAACATCAACTAGTCTGCAAGTTTTCTTTTAGGTATCTTCAGATAAATAATTATAAGCCTGTTCACCTTTAAAAAAAAAAAAAATTTTTGTAGGTACATTTTTTCGTGGCCTTATGAACTCTAAATTTTTTCTGTTTCATGCACTAAATTTTTTTTGTAAATATACTGGGGAGATTCCTTATTATATATACTCTTCACACAGTGGTCTTTGAAAAGTATTATGCATTTGGTTCCGATGTCACGTTTTTTTCCGCACGATAAGTCAATAACGAAAAACGATATCAATTTAAAGTGACCATCCGTCCCGATTTAGGCGAGACACTCCCGATTTTAAACCACTAGTCCCGCTTTTGTCCTTTTAAAACAATTTTATCGCGCTTTTAAGCCTTTATGGTGATGTTTTTTTGCTCTTCAATGAACCATCACTACTGCAAAATTAAAAATTCGTTAACGAAAAATCTCAAAATCTCTGTTTCCGATTTATCCCGCTTTCTACTTTTCAAAATATGGTTACTTTATATCAGTTTGAAAATTTCAGCAAAAATCAAGCTCTATAAAGGGACGAAGCCTATTGATTTGAAAAAAATCTGAATAAAAATGGGGGGTTAAAAAAAAATCGCAACTCAAAAACAAAAAATTATATCAAATTGAAATTTTTAGCAAAATCAAAAAAATCTGATCAAAAATGTATGGATTAAGAGAAGTTAAAAATCATAAACTAAAAACCTAAGCCGATATCCACATGAAATTTCTATAAGAAGATGAAGCCTATTGATTCTAAAAAAAATTTGAATTAAAATGGGGTGTTGAAGGGGGTTGAATTAATGAAAAAATCAAAAACGAAAACGAAAAAGATATCAACTTTAAATTTTTAGCAAACATCAAGCTCTATACGGCTATTAAAATTAAGTTGATGACCTAAAAAAATGGTCATTTTTAATTTTTTTCATGTAGTACGCAAATAGTACACAAATAATAAACAAATAGTAAACAAAATACAGAAATAGAACACAAAATATACAAATTGTACACGTAGTACAGATTTCTTGTACACCATCATCGTACAGCAGCGGTTTACCCCTCGACTGCAACTCACCGTTTCCGTGGAAAATTAAATAATAAAAAAATGTGCAACTGAAAATGCCAAAAGGGCATTTAAAAAATTTGGTTTTAAACTTATTTTATGGTCATCTAACGATTCATGAATTACAATCGCGTGAAAAGTTTCTTCTGGAAAAACTATTTTGATTGTACTAATAGGTAAAGCACCTATTATAAATAATTCCAAGATAGGTATTTATAAAGAAAATTTCCTTGTTTCAGAGGGTGTACTACCTTTCATTGGAATTTTATATGGGTCGTTCCCTGCAAAATACCATGATCAACTTAGGAATACAAACCTCTGTAGATGAAGCTCTCTATCAATTAGGTTTAGATATAGAAGAACTCGAAGATATAGAGGAAGACGCCGGTCTCGGCAACGGTGGTCTAGGACGTTTGGCAGCTTGCTTCTTGGACTCTATGGCCACTCTAGGTTAGTAATAATTTAGTATATAATATTACAAGTGCAGAATGGAACATTTTTCACATGTTATTTTTTGTCCTTGTATATCATGATTAGTATATTTTTACAGTATTTCCAAATAATAATTATTCTGAAAAGTCTATAATTACTTTTTTTATCTTGAAGTAAATTTATTTTTATCTGAACGGAAATTTTTAAATTAAAAATGTGTAGATAAGCTTATTTATTAATTAAATATGCTAGAAAGGTTTTAAACTGAAATACAAAATCAAAAAATATATAAAAAAATTTCAGATACTTTTTTACATGTATCTTTTTTGTTGTTGAATGGCAGAGTCAGTATTTAATTTTTATAGTATTTTCAAATAATTATTCGGAAAAGTCTATATTATTTTCTTATATCCTAAAATAAGTTTATTTTTGTTTAAACGGAAATTTGCAAATTATAATTAATTATAGATAATCTTTGTTTATTCTTAGTAGAAAAGTTTTAAATTGAAATATAAAAGTTAAAAACATTTGAAACCGTTTTGGCAATATACCAAAAGTGTATTTTAACTTTTCCTATATTAAAAATTTCGGATACTAAATATATTTAAACGTTTTTTTTTTAACCTGTAGCCGATCACGTGCTATTTTCGTTGAGCTACATGTTTAGATTATGCCATATTAAAGGTGCAAAAATGATAAAGATAATGATTACAAAGACTTATTCACGTATAAAATGCATGGTCAACGAATTTATCTAATAAAATTTATGAGATATATAAAAATTGTAAACGAACAACATTAGATAAAAACATCAGTGACATTAAAAATTTGATAACCTCTCTGACTCTTAAATGGATTATTTTTGATTTGTACTAAAATTATTTTTATAGTAGAGGTGTATTAAGTACTAAAGTTAACGACCAAATTTTGAATTACACGAAGAAAATAGCGTTCCATGGGTAATTGAAATTAGTAATGACACAAAACCTTGTAATATTGCCCTGTGAAGCGGGCGGATAGAATGACTTTACCCGGGCATTTACCATCGAGGTGGTAGAAGCCCACCAAATGGCCATTTCCCAAAAATGGAGCATCTAGAGACACCTCATAGTGACGTTATTAACTAACCTTAGAGGCTGGCTACCTCTAGACACACCCCAGCGACAAGCTGCAGGTTTTGGAGGAGTTAATAACCTGCAGGAATTTTACGAGCTGAGAACATGACTGTTTCTAGACAGCTCTCAGCGGCAAACACCATAATAATTTATTTTCCTAATGTATTAACTAAAAAATCAAAACTTAGTTTAAAGAAATCATACTATTTTATACTGTACCCGCTTTCAGAGCTGGATCTGTAATTTCTTAAAGAGGCCCAAGATTTTATTTGCACTAAACTTGCTCTGTTATTCTTAATAGATATGATTGCCAGGTTTGACAGTAACAGTCGACCATAAGTAACTTTTTATAAGCTACTAAAATGTTGCCACACAAACATTTTCACGAAAATATAGAAGTATTTTTAATTTGAAACTGAAAATTTTTCCAGAAAATGGTAAATAATAATAATAATAATAAAAAAGATAGCACATAATTTTGTTAAGGGGCTTAAAGGATCGAAACCCAACTGTATCCTATTTTGCACACCTCTGATTAAATTTACTAGTAGAAAATATCGCTAAATCGAAACCTTCTAAGATGTCAGATCATAAGCACAATCTCGCGACTCTAGCTCTAATGGTTGTCGAAATATTAATACTAATCCAGATTTTTTTGACATCTCTCTTAATAACGAGGACTTTCAGGACCACGATTCCTTGAATTTTTTCACCTGTTTTTATATATAATTAACTCCAATTAAAATGTATGACTGCTAACCTGAAACATATCCTGCATGTTCACCGATTTGTTTGATCGATATAAAAATTTTTAACCGGTCCTGTAGCAGGTACTAAAATTTACTCCTTGTTTTTTTTTTGTGTCATCGGCTTCAACTGCTAAGGTTATTTCGCCTCGTGTTCTGTGTAGGCTTTGTTATTGTTTCCCAGCGCCACTTTAGGAACAGCACTGTTAATTAAAACCCAACAGTGAATGATCCAGTGGGGAATCCTACCAAGGCATCAGAATTAATTTTAAATAATTAAATTAAATGAAAAAATTGCGGCCAACGGTAGGATTCGAACCCGGGACCCTTGGATCCACAGGCAGAGGCTCTACCACTGAGCCACCCACCCCGCTTTTTGTGATGTATTGTAATTCTATGGTCCTACTCTAATATTTTTCTTCTATTCCAACTAAATTACACATTATACCTCAACATGACACAAATATTCTACAATTTCACATATGTTTGCCACCTAAGTGCAAATTTGCAGGCCCGAGAAGAAATGGTAAAAGTTATCAAAAAATGTAATGCTGAAATATTTTTGTGAACAAAATGGCCAATTTTTGTTATCTCTGTTTACCACTAGAGGATCTCTCAGATAATGGTTTCCAAAATGTATCCAAAAACGGTACACATTTCGAAAAATTATTTTAAAATTATATATTTTTTAGTTTTGTTTTTCTTGTAAGCGTTCTATGTGATAAATTATCATTATTTTTTTTTTAATAAAACAAAACATTAAATTATTAAATCGTTATTTCTTCAAAAAGAATTGGATAATCAAAAACGATCTCTCTTTCATATGTTTGAAACCATTTGACATTAGATGTACAGTTAGGAGATTCATTTCCGAAAAATTTTGTTTTTTTTTTCTGTGCTCAAGCAAAATATTAATCTACATATCGAAAAAGAAATGTTCACCAAGTTTAAGCTCTTAATATCAATTTTAAGTACTTACTATTTAAATTTAAAGTGCATGTAAAAATGTTTTTTTTTAATTTCTAATGCTGACCCACCTTTTACAATATTGCAAATCGGTTTGATGGACCTTTTGGGAAATTTCACGCTCTTCGAAATTATATTCATTATGAGTGAGAAATCATAATAATTCTAAAATTAGTGTAATGGTAATCAATAGAAAACATTAATCTAAATAACATTATGAGTTAGTATTTATCAATTTCTTACGTTTTCAGGTATAAAAATGGCTGTAAATTTATTAAATGTTAGTCGGATAACTTTTTTTTATGAGTCAGCCCTATTTTTCTCCCTACTTTTGGCGGTTTGCTCGAAAAAATTAAATTTTTTCTTTTTTTTTGAAAACTGTACTTTGACGACTCTTACTGGGAAACCAGTGCGAGTTACACAAAAAAAAAACACTGAAGCAATTTCGAAGAGCATGAAATTCCTTACAAGGTCCATCAAACCGATTTGCATTATTGTAAAAGGTGGGTAAGCATTAGAAATTTAAAAAATAAAAAATTTGTTTTCATGCATTTTAAATGGCAAAACTTTAAATTTAAATAGTAAGTAGTTAAAATTTTGCAATTTTTGTCAAATTTCTCGAATACGGACCATTTTAGAAAAATTATGTATAGGACAAAAATTATAGAAAATAACATTACAAGCAACTTTTATTTGAAGAATTTTATTATCCAAGCTTAAATAACATATATTCCATAAAGTAGAAAAACGACCTTCTATAAGTACCCCCCAGTTGTTCCGACTATGCCCAAAATTTAATCTGTTCACCAAAGGATGGATTAAAGCTTAAATTTAATATTTGGTGATCTCTTATTCAAAATTTATACTATTTCTCAAATATCTCGAATACGATCCATTTAAGAGAAATTATGTATAAGACAAGAATTATAGACAATGACATCACAAACAACTTTAATTTGCACAATTTTCTTAAAAATTTGAATTTTTTACTTTTTGTCGATTTTCTCGAATACGAACCATTTTAAGAAAATTTTGTATGAAACAAAAATTATAGATACTAATATTGCAAGCAACTTTTATTTGAAGAATTTTCTTCTCCGATGGTAAATAACAGATATATTCCATAAAATAGAAAAACAATCCCCTATAAAGTACCCCCCAAATGTTGCGACTGTGCCCAAAATCTAATCATCTCACCGCAGGCCGGAATAAAGCACACGCACGCACCCACACACATACATCATCGCAAAAATAGTTAAAATGGATTTAGGTTACCCCAAAACATAAAAATCCGTCGAAAACTCGAGGTCAAAAAAAATCATGATTCCTATACTTTGCTTATCTGTATGTAAGGAAAGTAAAAACACAAACCTAATCCTTTAAAATCCCTTTGATATTTAATGTTGAAATTCAGGGTTAGTTTCAAACCCGCAATCTTTACGTGCCAGTTGGTAACAAAACCGGTAAAACCGGAAAAATCCTAAACCCCCAATCAAGTTGCCGTATGGAGTGATAATTTTCGTGGTTTTTGCAGACTGCGAATTTATTAAATAGTTACCAGTTGTTTTAATTTAGCTTAATCAACACTAATTTATATTATCTATTTACCTATTAATATTTTATTATTTTGTAATAGATAATTACTAAATATGGGCGAGATTAACGCCCATATTTAGAATCAAACATGGCTATCTCCCAAAGTGAGTAGCAAAAGCGGCAATCTCCAATTTTTTCCCTTATTTTTTAAAATTTAATATTTATACAAGTCAGCATAATTTTGGAACACTGATAAATATGAAAAAATTAATAAAACAACCCTAAATCTTCCCAGGAACTTAAAAACAGTTTTTCACAATTATCCAAAATTCGTAAAAATGGAGATTGCCACCTTTGATTCTAGATCCCTCTTATATTTTGATTATTTACCGTGCAATTTATATATTTTTCAGGTATGGCGGCGTATGGTTACGGTATCAGATACGAATACGGTATATTTGCCCAAAAAATTATCAACGGCGAACAACAGGAAGAACCCGACGATTGGTTAAGATATGGTAACCCATGGGAGAAAGCAAGACCGGAATACATGCTTCCTGTAAACTTCTACGGAAACGTCGTCGACACACCCGAGGGTAAAAAATGGGTCAACACACAAGTAGTTTTCGCCCTGCCTTACGATAACCCCATTCCTGGATACCAGAACAACGTTGTCAACACCTTGAGGTTGTGGTCGGCCAAATCTCCCGTTGATTTTAATCTCAAATTCTGTAAGACATTTAGGTTTTGTCACCATAAAACACGTTATTTCTATAAAATTTACTTTTTCAGTCAACGATGGTGACTACATCCAGGCTGTGTTGGATAGAAATCTCGCAGAAAATATATCTAGAGTTCTTTACCCCAACGACAACTTCTTTGAGGGAAAAGAACTCCGTTTGAAACAAGAGTACTTCATGTGCGCCGCTACTTTGCAAGACATCATCAGACGATTCAAATCAGCCAATTTTGGAACCCGTGAACCTACAAGAACCAACTTCGACCTATTGCCCTCCAAAGTTGCCATTCAACTCAACGATACCCATCCAGCAATGGCGATACCAGAATTGATGAGGATTTTGATTGATATTGAAGGTAAGAAAAACTTTATTTCCATCTGCTTTGTACGTTTTTTTATGAATCGATGTTCACTGAGGTAAACTCTAAGAACTAAGTAATCTGTAGGTACAGTAGACCTACTTAAGAACAAGGATAATCGGGAGATAATAAAAAACTTGTTAGAAAGTCGCTATCTTGTATATGAAGGAAATAAATATTTTATAAATAACTTTTAAATGTTTTCTAGTACATTTTAAGAGAGTAGTTCAAATACACCATTTGCAAATTCAAAATGAAACGTTTTAGGAGTAAAATCTAAACGCTTTCTAGTACATTATAAATGAGTAGTTCAAATGCATCATTAGTAAAAGAGCCAAAACAGATTTGATATGCCCGCGAAATATTTTGAAAGTAATATCTAAACTTTCTAGTTAATTTTATAGAGTAGCTCATACTGTCTACATAAGTTGGCAGCATATGAAAAACTTTTTAATTAATATTAGGAAAAAAGTATTTCTTCCTAAAAAGTCGAGCATGGTCTAAAACCTAAAATACACACATCAGATATCAAATTTTATCAGTCCTATACGAGGATTGTCAAAAATAAAGATACTTTACTCTTCAGCAAAAATCATATTTTTTGACAAACCTCTTATAAGGCTTAAAAAAATTAATATCTGATGGTTGCATTTTAAGTTTTGGGCCAAGCAGAACTTTTTATCAACAATAAATTTTTTCACAAAACCAATAGTAAAAAGTTTTCCATATTGTATGCTTTTTTGTACGTTTCAAGAAAGTAGTTCAAATGTACCTTTCTCAAATTCGCCTCGTTAGACCTAATAATGACAAGAAACCAATAGTAAAAAGTTTTCCATATTGTATGCTTTTTTATGTTTCAAGAAAGTAGTTCAAATGTACCTTTCTCAAAAACTGAAAATGTCCGATTTTTTTTTAATGGCGGCTTTACACTAAATTTGACATATTTCAAGGTGTTACATTATTAAATGATACTTTTTAATGGAGACTATTTTGGTGGGAAAGTTTTTTTCAAATTGTCTTTTGTTTTCGAGTTACCTGCAGTAACTTTGTTCGGATATTTTAATAATTTTGAAAATGGATTCGAATCGGCATTAAATTCTCTAAAACATTCCCCATTTAACTACTCTTCCATCTCATTAGGCGAAATACTATTTAGAAAACCGAATTTGGGACACAATGTATACAGTACTGGCCAGGCAAGATCAAACATTTGGTCCCGCTTTGCTTATGTTGAAGTTAATAGTAAATGGCGTCTACATGTACAGCAGAAGAAGGATTGAATATTTGATCTTGCCAGTACTACTGTATGTAAGCTTTCGAGTAAGTTTTTAAAGAGTAGTTCATATGTAACATTTAAAAATTTGTGAAACAAAAATATTCAAAAGGAACGGCACGAAAATATATTTTTTTTAATTTTAAATGCTTTTTAGTACAATATCAAAAGTGTAGTTCAAATGTATCTTAATAGATCACATTTTTTTAAATACATTTTGACCAGAAGCGGCGGGTTTTTATTTTTCAGTGGGGTGCAAGGTGCAAAGGTTATTATAATAGCAATAATAATAATTAAATAGTTTGTCAAGTGCGAGTTAAACTGGCGCATATAGGATTTTCGTGACCAAATGCATAATAATTTCGTAGTCATGTGCAGTAGGTATTATACGATTGTAGTCATATGTAGGACTAGAATTGTATAATACCTACTGCACATTACTAAAGTCATATAGTACCTACTGCGTACGTGTTAAACGTTCCATCACCTACTGAGCATGTCTGGAACGGCGTACTGCATGTGTACTATTATTATTAAATTGTGCAAGAATGTACATTAAAATTTGTGAGTCTGATAAACTTTGACATAGTAATTTGAAGTTCATGCCATTCAGATAGATCACATTCTCAAGCTCTGTCAAAGTTCATCAAGTACATAAATTTTAATGAACGTTTTTGCAACTGGCTTTTATTGCATATTTTTTTATTTTATAAATAGCGTCTATCTCCAGTCACAGGGTGTTATGCATTCCAGAATGCTGCATTCTTTAGATGCAACCGAGCCCTTGCACCCATGCATTCGCCGCCCCTGCTTTTGACATTCCCATTCTTATAAATGCTCAAATGTTAAACTTTATTTAGGTCTTTCTTGGGAAAAAGCCTGGGAAATAACTGTCAAGACATGCGCTTACACCAATCACACTGTGCTTCCAGAAGCACTCGAAAGGTGGCCGGTATCTCTGCTGGAAAGCATTCTTCCCAGACACTTGGAAATAATCTACCACATTAACTTCTTGCATATAGAGGACATTAAAAAACGTTGGCCTACGGATCTCGATAGAATGAGACGCATGTCGCTGATCGAAGAAGATGGCGAAAAGCGCGTCAATATGGCTCATCTTGCCATTGTCGGTTCTCATGTTGTCAATGGAGTTGCTAGAATTCACTCTGAAATTATCAAAGCCGATTTGTAAGTTACTTTTTAAATAAATTCTACTGAAAATTTTAAATATTTGTCTGTCATTTAATTTTCAGATTCCGTGACTTTTATGAACTCACTCCTGAGAAATTCCAGAACAAAACCAACGGTATCACCCCTAGAAGGTGGTTACTCCTTTGTAACCCAGGTTTGAGCGACTTAATCTCTGATAAAATAGGAGAAGATTGGACCGTTCATTTGGATCGCCTCGCGGAATTGAAAAAATGGGCCAAGGACCCAAATTTCCAAAGAGCCGTCATGAAAGTCAAACAAGAAAACAAACTGAGATTATCTCAACTGTTAGAGAAGGATTACGGTGTCAAAATTAACCCTTCTTCGATGTTCGACATTCAAGTTAAGAGGATTCACGAATACAAGAGGCAGCTCCTGAACGCCCTTCATGTCATTACTTTATACAACAGAATTAAGAAGAATCCTTCGGCCAAATTCACTCCTAGGACCATCATGGTCGGAGGAAAGGCCGCCCCTGGTTACTACGCCGCTAAAAAGATCATCAAATTGATCAATATGATCGCTAATGTTGTCAACAACGACCCAATCATAGGTGACAAGCTCAAAGTTATCTACTTGGAAAATTACAGAGTTACCTTAGCCGAAAAGATCATGCCTGCCGCCGACTTAAGTGAACAGATCTCTACTGCTGGTACAGAAGCGTCTGGTACAGGTGAGATCTGCAACTAAAATAAGCAATTCCTAAGTTGCCATTAGAATTAATAATATTTTGACATTTAACCTTTTATTTTAGGTAACATGAAGTTCCAATTGAATGGTGCCCTCACCATTGGTACTCTAGATGGAGCCAACGTAGAGATGGCTGAAGAAATGGGCGACGAGAATATTTTCATCTTTGGTATGACAGTCGATGAAGTTGAAGCATTGAAAAAGAAAGGTTACGACGCCATGGAGTACTATAACGCTAATCCCGAATTGAAACAAGTTGTAGATCAAATTCAAAACGGATTCTTCAGTCCAGGAAACCCAGATGAGTTTAAGGATCTGGCTGATATATTGTTGAAGTACGACAGGTTCTTCTTGCTGGCCGATTATGACGCTTATATCAAGAAACAGGATGAAGTTAGTGCTGTCTACCAGGTAAGTTGGTACATCCAAAATTATTTAATTTGGGTACATTTAGGAAGAAACTGGAAATGTATTAGAATTTTCAAATGATTAATTATATGGAGAAGCAACTTTTCCATAATATTTTCATGAGTTAAACTTTAATAAAATACATTTTTGTGTGGAAAATGCTCTTTTAACATCCACGGACGTTACAGGGGCATATAGAGTTTGTGTAAAAATGATGGTACGCTTGATCAAGAACAGGCTATGCATTGTAATAGCGACCATTACCGGGCATTACCGATTTAAAGGACACCTTAATAAACTGAGGGTAGTAGAAGATAGTGAGTGCAGATTCTGTGAGGAAGCGGATGAAACCTCCATTCACACTCTGGCTGAATGTGTAGCACTCCACTACTTAGGTGCATACCAAATAGAAGAGATCGATCTACCTAACTTAAAGCCACTCCAAATCCTACACTTCCTTGAGAAGATAGGATTGGAAGGGTAGTTATAGGCACCGACACTATTTCCTCGATGCATTAGCGATAGAAGGGAACACAATAGATCTTTTAGGTCGCAGTGCAATAATACCCCATACCCAACATAACATATCGTCTATTTCTTTACCTTTTAAAAGGTCCAAAAGGCTGTATAAAAACCCAAGATTATTATTTAAAATAATATTCAATTTCTTCGTCACACGTTCAGAAACAGAGATAACAAGAGGAGATGTAACTACAAACAAATATCGTGCGGTCCTAAATAAGACATATATTCTAAGGAGGGTATAATATACGCTGTTGTCATGCCTATTTCATTATTTTCGTTTTGTTTACAAAATTATTTACATATCTTAAAAAGCTAAAATAATTCAACCTATTTTATTGCAACTGAACCCAAAAATTTTTGAATCATTAGTTACATCAAATTTAACTAAATTATATATAATTTCACTAAATTAGATGGTATGATTTTCAATAAATTCCAAAACTTGTTGTGTTAAGTTGAATATCAAGTATTTTTTACGAAATTTGGCAACAGCTAGCATTCTGTACGTTGTTTATTATGGGCTTACATAACGGTTTACAAAATATTCATTCATCATTTCATCAAGTTGTTTAGTTGTTAGAATTTACCTAATTTACTCATAGACGTACCAATTACGAAAAATATCTTATTCTTTTTAAATAATTAGTATTATTTTCAGATATTGAAGTAGGTCATATGGCGTTTATGTGTCAGTTGATGATGAGGCATTCACATGAAAGTTACGTACGCCAATGTTGCCAAATGATGAACTGAGTTTAAAACAAAATTAATAAATGGACTGAAATTTAAAAAAAATCAATATAATAAATCGGTTTTATAAAAAATCCTTAAATATAAATAGAGAATGATTACATATTACTAGACACAGATTTTGATTCTTAAATGAAAGGTCTTATCCACTTCTTCAAGGCCTAAAATCCGACAACATAGCGAAATTTAGCTATTTCTGGCAACACTGATCCTACTTATAGGCACCTTCTACAAATTTCCTCCAGAGGGCGTATCATTTAGTTTGAATCGCGAATAGCCCACCATTCATATATTTGCGACGTTGCCGGATGGATTTTATTTAAAATAATAACGTATCCGTATATATAAGCTTGCATGGTCTTGTGTACAGTCTCTTACAAAAATAAAACTTTATAGCATTGAGAATCTTGAACTTTTGGTATTCACCATTATGCGATATTCTTATGTACGACTGACGCGAGTGAACTACTTTAAATATATTAATAGAAAATTGTCTACTTTTCCTCTGAATAAATCTCAACATTTTAAATGTCTTAGAGGTTATTTGACTAAGTTAGTGTTGAAAAGTTTACTATCCATAATAACTCCAAAATCGTGAACATTGTCATTAGTTTGTAGCACACAATTATTAATTCTATATGAATAGTGAATTGGAGAGGTAATTCTAAAAAAGGTGAACTGATGACATTTTTTAACATTTAAGTACAACACGTTTACATCACACCAGCTTGTAGTAAAAAGCATCTGTTTGATTGGAAGCTGATCTAAATATTTTTAAATCACCAGCAACAAGAGATGACACTAGAAAGATCATTAATAAATAGATTGAACAGCAACGGGCCCAAATGAGATCCTTGCGGTACACCTGAAGGTACTGTAATTGGTTCCGCTTTGCAGTTGCCATATTTAACATTTTGAATCAAGTTACAAAAATACTATCAATCCAATTTAGTATAACAACTCCAAACCCATATTCGCTTAGTTTAACAATCAGTATGTCATGGTTGAGTCTGTCAAAGGCTTTTGAAAAATACACTTTATTCTGAGAGTTAGTTTTTCCAAATGGATTAGATTATGATCTAGGGGTCAGTATTTAGAACCTGTTTATTCTCGTCATTATTATCGATCCGATAATTTAAAAATAAAAATTCGTTTAGTCATTTTAATCCTTTATCTTACACTCGTCTCGGTCTTTGCCCTAATTGACGTCATCAATTATATAATTTCGAGCTCTGGTTATCAATATAAACATTAAATTGATAAATGTTTTGATGAAGTGAACTCCATAACTGGATTGACCTATTAGCATACGAGTTCTGGAATTTAGATACTAGAGTCGGGTTGCCACCTTTTTGAAATTTGAATATAGGCTATTTTAAAAATATCTTGATAGTACCGGCGGAGTATCCATGGTAAACAACTAAAAATGAATGTAGTTTTTTTTTTTAATAACATATTAAGTCTTAGTAAACGAAGTTTAAATTACTAAACACGAAGATTAAAGTGACATTATTAATGTAAAAATGTAATTTTAATCTTCTTTTAGTAATTTAAACTTCGTTTAACATAACAATGGAATCGGCCCTTAATTATATAAATGAATACATAAAATAAACATAACAAAAAAATTAGAAATTAAAAAAATGCTTTAAAGCATGGTTTAGTTAAATTTATCGTTCAATGCATAGACTGAAGATTGAAAATTATGAAATGGTTCGATTTGTACCTCTAGAGAAAAACGAACACGTAGAATGATGAAGTGCGTTCGCAAAAACGGTTGGTAGTACTTATTGAAATATTGTTTTTAAAAAGTCACAAGGACAATTGGTTTAAAAAAAGGACTACTAGAGTATCCGTAGGGCAAAGGGTTGACTTTAAAAACATTAAAGTGGTGCTAGAGGCAGATTTGAGCTTATATATTTTTAAATATAAAATATTATTATTTACAATTATTTTCTTCTTCAGAATCAATCTAAATGGTTGGAAATGGCAATCAACAACATTGCATCATCAGGGAAATTCTCCAGTGACAGAACCATCATCGAATATGGGAAGGACATTTGGGACGTAGAACCCAGTTACGAGAAACTTCCCGATCCTTCACTTCCCAGGGAATTAGCTTTAAAGTAATTTTTTAAAATTGTCGCTTTAAAAAACAACTTTTGTAAAGTTGTATTATTAGTATAACTTTAGAAAAAAAAAGTATTCTTCGGTCTTTTGGGTATAGTAAGCATAATTCACTTAATAGTGCCATATATAATTAAAATAAAAAATCTCAGAATGAATAAAAGTCGAAGGCCTTTGGTGTATACTTATTAAAGAATCATTAGAATTTTTTTAAATACTCAAATAATAACCCAGACTGTTAAGTTTTATATTAACGAGTGCCATTTTGTTCAATTGGTAATATTTTTGTTTAAAACGAAAGGTGATGATAATTACTATACATAAGCAACAAAATTATAAAAAAAAAACTACAAAATTGTTATCGCCAGGAAGTATCTAGTTTAAACACTTGTTTATATATCAAAAATTTATTTTGTTGTGAAATATATAAATAAAAAGTATTTTTATATTATTTACCGAAAATTATGTAAATAACTGGCATATTTTCTACACAGTATATTTTTTTTGTTAAGAAGTTAATAATAAATGTTACATGTATTACAAATTTTGTTTTATTGTTATGTAATATAAGAAAAATAATTAAAACCGTATAATTTCGAAATGCCATTGAACTGCTCTTTCCAAATGCCTCGATGTCGCTTATATTATTTCAGAAAACAAGAAGGAAAATAATAAATCGTTGAATTTAAAAAATATGTTTATTTTTAGTAACGAAAAATTACTAATGTATAATATTCCTTTAGTTAGGAACAAAAAAAAAGTTATTCATCCTATTAAATATGTTAAAGAAAAATATAATTCATTCTGATTTAAACAATTATTTTTAGCCGTCTGTCATAAAAAAATACATTTTATGGATTTATTAACATCCCTAAGTATCACGTAAAGCTTTTTATAAAAACAGATTTATCATACTTATCGTTAGTTAACAATGGATCTTTATTGCGTCAATAAAAATTTGAAAGAATTTTTGCATTTAAGCCTCTTTTCTAAAAACAAGAAATAAAAAAATATTGGTTCTACTTGATGAGACCAGTAGCGTAGCCACAGAGAGGGGGCTGTTTCCGCCATCGTATTGGCGCTGACCCTATTGACTGTTTTTATTTACTATTTTATCGTATTATATATTTTTATTAAAAACAAACTTATTTGAAATATTTCACTTTTTTGATGGAACCTCCTTCATAGTTCTCTAAAACCTCTTCCATACAAAAGTTCTGGCTACGCCACTGGTTGAGATAGTCGCCTAAAAAATCTTGTGTGTACCTTGGTCGTATGATCTTTTCTGGCATAATCAGAATTTGTTTGGCCTCCGCCGGAAATTTCTGATTCGGCCAAAAAAGATCAACTTTACGATTTTGGTACATAAATAACTATTTTAAACATGTACAGAAATAAGATTTGAACTACCAACCATTACACCAAATATATTACAGTCACTTTACTATTGGTGTTACAATTTTTCTTGCAATTGCAGAAAATGGAAACGGACTAAAAACAGGTTGCTAAATGTTTTCAAGCCTTGGGCACTATTTCTGCTGATTCTCATGACCTAAATTCGAATATACCTCCCGTTTATTTTAGCTTCTATATTTTTTCTGAGGGGCTAGAGATGTGCATAGTTTTAAAACATGAACATTTGTAGCAAGGAGAGTGGTTTTGGGGGATCGGTTGTTCGCAATGTTTTCACTTATATTCTATGGGAATAATTTCGGATTCAGGTCATTTTACATAAGAATCAGCAGGAATGGTGTCGGGGTCGATTTTCATGCAGACCAGCGAACTTTATTGCATGGGCCATTTTAGTATACTTTATTTAGTGATAAAGGGATTGCCAACCAAGGTCTGTGATACCAAGTATAAAACAAGTTTGTTAGCGGAGAGAAAAAAGGAAGAGAACGAAGAAGAATGGTTGCTCGGTTTTTAATTATGCCGATTATTCCAATTCATAAAAACAATGTCCAAATAATAAATTAAACAGCAATTAAAAATGTACAATTTTTACAATGTAATAATGTTTCTGCTATCTGAACAATTGCAATTCTGCTTCTTACCAAAAAAAACCGATAATATGGATCACGGTTCGTAAACACTACGGTGGCCTCATCCCCGTTGCTAAGGAGGGAGTAACGTCATCGAATGAAAAAGCAAGTTGACAGAAAATATTCTCTAGTTTTTAAAAAATCTAATATTGTTATTTAGTGATGTTCATATTTTTATTTTTGGACTATTTTCTAATGTTAGAGTTTTTATAATATTGGTAGTTTAATTTTTTTGAAAGACGAGTTACAAAACAGCACGGAAAAATCATGTAATGACTTCAAAAAAAATTCAAATGAATTGTTTATATTTGAAGTATAAAGAGAAATATTATTGTGTAAATGGTTTATTTTAAACATTTTGGGTCGGGTATGGCCTCCAAGCCTCTGACCACATTTTGTTTACCTATACCCTGAAACAATTTGACATTTTAGCATGTCTGGAGCGAGATGTAGTGTTGCTGTTTGTAATTTAAATGAATATAACACGGGCCTGTTGGACTTTAGAAGAAACATACAATGTGTATTAATTTATATCTGAACTAAAATAATACATTATACACTTAGGTTGACAAGTGAGCTATTATTTACCGAGAATTTTTATATCCTGAAGGAAAAATGAGCGAGGTTTATAATGGCCTTCTCAACCGAAGTACATATATACAGGGTGTTTGAGAATGTAATGTACATGCGTTAACTGTAGGTGTGGGACACTTGGATGATTCGAAATCAACCGTTATTAATAGGTCTATCACATCTCATTACCTAGATATGCAGGGTGTTTCGTCTGAATTAGTGTTTAGCCAAGACTCAACCTCTCGATATAAAAAATTAAAATTTGACAAGTACTCATCTCAATATAACAAAAATAATGCCATAGAAATAATAATTAGAATCCAGGTCCGACTTAACAAAATTTTATCATTTCTTTCGCTTCAAAAGTAACACCCTGTATATCCAAATTTATCATATCTGATTAAATAATCTCAAAAGAGCGGAAAAAATCAATTTAGGAAGGTATCTTTTAAAATTTGCGTATGTCGTTTTAGAGGCACTAATTTTTTGATAAAAAATATATTTTTAAAAATTTGTTACTTTCAGAATTTAAAAATGATTTTTTGATGATAAAACAAGAAAAATATAACTGTTTCAAGTAAGTACTTTTCAAATATAACAATTTTACACTATTTCAGTCTTTGATTTAATGTTAGAAATAAATTACAGGACCGTAGTTAATAATAAATTAAAAAAATTGTTGGTTAAGCTAACTACGGTCCTGTAATTTATTTCTAACATTAAATCTAATACTGAAATAGTGTAAAATTGAGATATTTGAAAAGGCTAACTTAAAAAAGTAATATTTTCCGTGTTTTATCATTTTTAAATTATGAAGGTATAACAAATTTTTAAAAATGTATTTTTTATCAAAAATTAGTGTCTCTAAATCGACATGCCCAAATTTTAAAAGACCTAAATTGAGTTTATCTGCTCTTTTGAGATATTTAATCTGATATATGCTAAATTTGGTTATACAGAGTGTTGTTTTTGAAGCAGAAAGAAATGGTCAAATTTTGTTAAACCGGATCTGGATCCGAATTATAATTTTTATGGAATTATTTTTGTTATATTGAGATGAGTGTACCTGCCAACTTTTAATTTTTTATACCGAGTGGTTGTTGAGTTTTGGCCAAAATCAAATTCAAGCGAAATTCATAAAACATCCTGTATCTAGGTAATGAGATGTGCTAGACCCATTCATAATGGATTCTTTCGATTCCTCTAAGTGTCCTACACCTACAGTTAACGTATGTACATTACATTCTGAAACACCCTGTATAATTTTTTTTACTACTAACACTGATATATTACCATATTTGATTTGATTAGATTTTGATAAACCCAGCTTAGTTATTTCCTACTTATTTTTCAAATATTTCGAAACATCAGGTAGTCTGGGAGTTTAGTTGTCAAATTAACAAAATGAAACTAATGGAATTCAATTTCATTATTTACCTAGAGTGAGAAATATTACTTTCTCATTAGAGGTATGGAGTAAATAATGGTGATTTCTCAAGTTAGTAGTAAAAAAAAATATTTTGTCAGTTCCTAGTTATTTCATGTAAGAACAGCATAATGTACTTAAAAAAAAACGAATAAAACAACCCAATTTTATTATATGATTATTGATTCGCGTCCGAATGTCATCTATAAAATTATATTCCTTAAAATGAACACTGCATATTTTCAGTTTGATATTTTCTAAAACATTGCACCCATATTTTTTTGTAAATGGTCTTCCATATTTCCCTGAGTTACGTAACTTAACAGAAATTTGTCAAATGACAGAAATATATACTCTAGAGAATTTTTAACTGATTGGCAGCGCTCATTTTAGCCATTTTCCCCCAGAGGTGCAACTGCAATAGGACCCGGCTATAAATTTTCAATCCGTCGCTATTTTCTGCAATTGCAAGAAAAATTGCAACAGCTGATCAAAAGGACATTATTGCGCAGACGTGAAATATTAATTTCCGCAATACTACTTACAACCAATGAAAATTGCGAACTGTAAAGTGGCCCTAACACTTGGCTGACAAGGTTTACAATAGTTAAAACAAAGCAATTTTGAGAAAATGTAAGATATCGGGTAAAAAAACCTCTTTTCTGTGACGGGAAAAAAGTTTGACATTTTATCTCTCTTGTCATCAGGTAACAAAATGTCACTTTTTATGAAATTACTTTTTTCCCTGTTTGCCCGGTAAAAAGTCTTTCCCCGGGAAAAAAGTGAGTACTTTTTTCCCGGATATATATACACGTAAGTAAAGGTAAATATTTTTTTTCAATATTAAAGTTTTTCCCGTCACAGAAAAAAATAGTGTATTATACACGGGAAAAAATGTGTTGTCTTCATCCGTTTCGCGTCGGGAGACAAAAACCGAGACCTAAAATCTAATACTTGTTCCCTTGTATAATAGACCGTCAGATAGTGACAGGTTTAGGTGCACCATTTTCGCATACAAGCCTCAAAGAGAGTTGAAAAGTACATCGATTTTAAATAGAATGAAAGGAAATTTACGAGTGGCTCCTGGGGATAACACATGGAAAATTCGATTTTCACAACCAAAAAGAAAGGTTATTTTTTGATCATATTTTCACGCAAGCCGTGCTTACTATATGATTAATTAATAGAACTAAGGCTTCGGAAAACCGAAGGCTTTAATGTTGCAAGTGGCTAACGGATTGAAATAAGGTAATATTCTAAGGAAAAATTGAGATTTTATCCGATTTTTCCACACAAGTCCATCGAATGCATAAAAACGTACATAGTCACTAGTCCGAAAAACATATTGGTTTGAATGACCCGAATGTATAAGTGCATTATGGGGTCGGAAAATTTTTCTGATAAATAATGAAAATCGAATTTTCCATGTGTTATCCCCAAGAGCCACTCGTAATTTTTTTATTTTACTCTTCATCGATGTACTTTTCAACTCTATTTGAGGCTTGTATGCGAAAATGGGGCACCTAAATTGGTCACAATCTGAGGGTCTATAATAAATAACAATTTTTGAGTCATTTCATAATGTTAATGACAATGACAACATAAATAGTGATCCCAAAAAATGTTTATAAAGTAAGTAAAGACCAACATAGAGAAACGAGTCATGTCAGTGATAAATTACTCACGGTTCTGAATCAGATTCAAACTGACACTTAAAAAGAAGAATTGTACGCTCTACATACGTGAATTTTTCCAGGACCTACTTTAAAAATATTTTTTTGTGATTCACTCCTTATTACATACAAGGTTAAAACACCTGGTGACTGTATTTTTAAATTTATACACATGAATTATTGGAGAATTACTATTTACATTAGGTTGTAAATACACTCCTTGTTAGAGCAACTGATCTGGTAACCAACAATGGAACTATTAAAACAAAAAATATTCCTGTAAAATGTAGAACTTAAAGGGTTATATCTAAATAATCGTCGATTTCGTTCAGTAGTTCTTCTTCAGGTTTTAGTAGCACCATATCTTCGTCGTCATCGTCGTCGTCTTCCAAAAGAAGACCTTCATCAATGGTACTAGCTGTCTCGGACATACCATCTTTTTCCCTGCAATGTAGAGGTTTTCCCGAAAGAGAAGTCTCACTACTCTGGGATGAATTCTCATCAGTGATTATTTTGTCAATCTGAGGTAGTTTCCTTCTCAGAATTATTTTTTTTTTGACGTCTTGTACAGATACAGGATTAATAGTTGATTCCGTGTCCAAGTCCATTGAAGTACTTGTTACTTCTTGTTCGTCGTGGATTCTTTCTTTGGCCTTTCTTTCGGCTCTGATTTCTTCTAACGTCTTTATTTTGATACCGCTTATATCGGACTGGGTAGGGGGCGAGACCTTGCGCGTACCACCCGCACAAACAGTGACAGATACTTGTTTGTCGATGGGGCGAGGCTTTCTATGCGCGATTTTTCGCCTTTTCTCTGCATAAAGAAAATGTTCATTAGTGTTACTACACAAAATGTATAAAAAAATAATATATTATCGTCTTTTTTGTATACAATATGGATAGGAAAATGCAATCGAAATATAGGGCTTATTATAAAATTAGAGAACACTTCACTTAATATTTTCAAGAACGAACTTGATAATTTTCTATTTTCTAGTTTCAAATTAACATTTCAATTTGTTTGTTGTTCATCGGTTGTTTAATTTTTTCCCCTCTTATGTATTATGATGTTATATATTTAGTTAATATGGGCTTATAGGTCTTATGGCCCCTACATTAATTAAATTATAATAATAATAAATTTTCATAAAAAAAAAACAGATAAACAAACGAAATTCAATTGCTCAAATAATGAAACCACATGAGACCTATATATAATATGGAAAACAAAAGTGTTGTCATAACAATTAATGATTGATTTACACAAAAAAAAAATGTTTTAATGATAAGGACTAGGATGATAACAAGGGGAGTGAATGGCAAAAAAAATCAGCGATTACTAGCTATGGGGTAATGTTACAGTAAAAATTGAGATCATATTGAAGATTTGCAGCAACCAGTTTTTGACATCAAAAATTAATTTTAAACAATTGAAAATTGTGATTTTATGATGTAAACTAAGGGGAACAGCAATTACTAATAACAGACACATTCATTTATAATTAGGTAAGCCCTTTTTTATTCCAATCATTCAGATTGTGTTTATTATTATGCAGACGAAGCTATCGCATCGGCTGTCGCCTTACAAAGAAGAGAGCTGCTAATTTGAGTGGGCATGATTTGTGCGAGTATGTTTATCCGAGGAGTGAGCATGCGTTTTATGAATAAATCAGTATTTACGTCTACTACGCTTGCTTTACACTGCTGTCACACTTTCCTGAAAAACAACTATAATAGGTGCAACAAGAAAAAATACATTAAACTGATAATAACTGGCATTAGGAATGTAAATATCCTTCTCTAATGTAATTTTGAAAACTTTTTGTGCACTTTAGAGCCTTATGTTTATAAATAATCCTTGTAATAATACTGTGTCCTATACTCTCTCAATAATTTGACAACTACGAGGATGATGCACCGTGAATATTTGCAATTCAGTCAAATTAACTACTAAAAAATAGTTTGTTTACCTGCTGTTAGCACTAACTGACTGTCACTAAGTCGTTTATTTTTCTGAACAGTAGTCACAATTCGTTCTGGATGTTGAACAATCATTCTTGAAAAAATTCTTTGCCTAATGGTATTTGCCTGCTCCAAATTCTTGTAGTTTTGATAAACATCTAAAAACGGTATAACTATCATCCAAAAAAATCGATATTAAATTGTAAAAAAGGTAGTCAAAAATAAATTATCTAACAAAAATAATAATCATATTTTAAGCCAACAGGGCAAAGGCAGATATAGCGAAGGTAAGTACTCTACAGTTGCGGCAGCATACCAGAGTGTAATAATATTCTCCCTAATTCACCACCTTACGAGTGAATTTTAACCCCAGAAGATGAGCTTGTCCAGGGAAGCGACGCATGGCGATTTATAATCTGGATGTCATATAAACAGAAATTAAATTTCTGCTAATACGGCATCCTTCAAATCCTATAACGAATCATGCAAATTAATTAAACATTCACATGGTCTGCTGTAGGATTCGAAGCCGCGTATCTCTCAACCACAAAATTGCTTGTAAGACAATTACGCCACCGAGACAATAAATTAATAGCTGATTTTATAAATCGCATAATCTTTTCATAGTATATTACTATACTAAGTATGAAAAAATATATTTTAAGAAGAAAAGTGTCAAATAGATATATGTACAAAGGATGACAGTCTTTGATATTCACATCTCCATTGATTAGCGCATTTAATTCTGTCACGTCACTCTGTTGTTCTGACATTCCAAAATTCCAGGCCGGCTTATGGTTGTTTTGGCTTTTTTTAAAATAAAGACGTTACAAAGTAATATTTTATGGACTAATTATTTAGACTGATATTGTTTTGACTAAAATTCCACATGGAAAGGTAATATGTCTTATCGACTCACTATATTAGTCATGACAAACTAAATAAAAGAACATTCTCTTGTGAAATTCAAGGAAAGGTGGGACGAAACAAGTTACGGAGTTGCTAGAAAGCTCTTAAGTTGGCTTGACATACTACAGCAAACAAGTACTTGGCTATAACTAGACAGAATATGAGTCTGATCAAGGTGTTCCGACTGGTCATAAGCACCTCCATAGCATGGAACTATGCACTCTATAGAGGGGGTGAACAAGAAATGAGACTATCAAACATGGTTAATATGATTGCTCGACGCTCTTATCCATTAAATTTGTATTCAGCATTTATTGACTAAGTCAAAGCATTTATTGACTAACAGTCAATAAAAGAGGCACCTTTTGGCGATGTTGTTAAAAACATTAAATCTGCAAGCTAACAGCTCGACTAAGAGTGGCTGCATCGATTCAGGATGCACTATCGGCCTAAATGCAGTGGGGGGAAACCCACCCTCCCCACTTAAGATACATTTTGGTATGAGCAAGGTGTGTAAAGATATGTTGCCATCAACTATAGATAAGTTATTGGAAATACAATTTTGTATCTATGGATGCCTATCTATTAAAACTTTTGATTCCTTTCGGTTTTTTTTGAAAGTCAAATGCCAAAATTAAGAACGAATTTTAAAAAGATATATAATATATGAAAAAAAATTTTTTGCAGAAAAATATTCCAATACACGGGTTCTAGAACTGAAAAAAAAAAAATATTTTCAAAGAATTGCCAGAAAATGTATATTAAAAAATTGCAAGAACAACTTATCCATCTTATATGCACCTTTTATATTTTCGACCAACTCTAACAATCTTAAATAGTTACAATATGTTCAACCTATCTGTATACAGATATAAGGAAAGTATAGGAATCATGATTTTTTTCGACCTCGAGTTTTCGACGGATTTTTACGTTTCGAGGTCCCCTGAATCCGTTTTGACTATTTTCGCGATTATGTCTGTGTGTCTGTATCCACCATAACTGATGAACCGATATACAGAAAAACACCAAATTTTAAACTTGGGCAGAGTCGGAACATCTGGGGGGGGGTACTTTATAGGTGGTCATTTTTATATATGTTATTTACGTTTGGAGAAGAAAATTCTTCAAATAAAAGTTACTTCTAATATTATTATCTATAATTTTTGTTCTATACAAAATTTTCCTAAAATGGTCCGTATTCGAGAAATTTGACAAAATGAAAAAAAAATATTTTTTTATAAAAATTGTTTGTAATATAATTCTCTATAATTTTTATTCTATACATAATTTCTCTAAAATGGACCGTATTCGAGATATTTGAGAAAATGTGTAAATTTCGGATTTTGAAGAAAACTCAAAAACGGATAAAGAAAAAACATTAAATTTTATTTCGGCCTGACGTAAAATGATTAGATTTTGGACAAAGTCGGAACATCTGGGGGGTACTTTATGGGAGGCCGTTTTTATATTTTATGGAATATGTCTGTTATTTATGTTTGGAGAAGAAAATTGTTCAAATAAAAGTTACTTCTATTATCTATAATTTTTGCTTTACGTCAAAATTTGCTGAAATGGTCCGTATTCGAGAAATTTGACAAAATGTGCAAAATGCTGATTTTTATGAAAATTGTTGAACTAAAAGTTATTTGCGATATCGATCTCTATAATTTTTGTTTATATATGATTTTTCTAAAATGGAACGTAATGGAAAAATTGGAGGGAGTGCTAAATTTAAATTTTTCAGTATTTTCGTTTTCAATGAATATCTATAGAAAAATGTATATATTTAGTTTATCCTCTAAATATTTATAGAGGTACTGCAATAGGTTGTACAAAATAACCGGAAAAAGCCTATAATAACTAGATAGGAAAGTCATGTGTTGGACACATCAGATTTTTTATTTATAGAAATAAATATCTGTATTTTAATGTCACTTACCATTATATGAATAATAGGCAGCCGATTCCGCTTGAACTTTCTCTAATCTTATTTCTTCTAGAGATTTGACTGTAACAATGCGATGGTCGCCACTTTTTTGGGGGGACATGGCAGATATTGACTCACTATCGGACTCTGCAAGAATACACCATTGAATTTAACATATACATTACTCAAAAAAGTGCATTCTTGCAGAGAAAATGAAACGACTTGAGTACAAAATAAATTTTATTTAATAACATTACAAAATAAATTAAATTCCACAGTCAACAGTACCAAAAGAAAAAATAACTTCTGCTTGTTGATGAAAATAACTGTATTTGTCTCAACAATTAACATAAAACATCTAAACTCAATTCAACAATCCCAAATTGTACAATTCATAAAACATGTTACACATAACGCAAATAGTTAGCTAATAAGGACTTGATTTTGCATTATGTATAACTAACAATTGAACAATAACCTTGGAAAAATGTCAAAACATCCCAGAATTAATAATAAAAATCCTTTTAACAAGAATGCACCTTCCAACTCATAAATTTTACAATTATTACATTGTTTAAGAATATAAACAGTGTCATAACAGTCAAGATTTCAACTGAAATCAGTAAATACTAAAACACTAGTACATAAATTTTTCTAATTGAAAAAATAAATAAAACAACACAAAAAAAACTAAATTTTCTTGAGTCACACTCTCTTCCAGTAAATTTCTGTTAATGTATTAATAATTTAATATAATAACTAAAATCAATTATATGAAATGGATATACACTTCCCACTATTTATGGACTAGTATTGTTATACACATTTAAAATTTATTTAAAAAAATTGAGAAAAAATGATACACCAGCTCATATTTCACAGGAAGCTCAAATTTAGCAGTTGTTAATGAACTGCTTATAAATAATTTTCTAAAGTTTCAAAGACAAATTAAAAAATATTTCAAAATGTAAGAAAGCAACAATCAACTTAACTTCTTCCCAAAAAAACAAATAATGAACTTGTTGGAAAAAATTACTTTACTAGTTGCATACCTTCTTCAAAATTCACAACTAAGCTATCCACGGCAGTCACTTTCCTCTCAGATGAGGAGTTAAGGTCTCCTACAGATTGATCTGAAAAAAAAAAATATATTTTAAATATCTATTGAAGAAACCCCAAACACATGGCTCTCCAATAAAATCCAATTATTAAATGTTACCAATTTAAATTAAAAACAAAAGAAAAGAGAAAATCTTAGGCTGTGTTACAGCAAAGTCAAGCGACAGTTTCCCTCCTAAAAACAACTGCTCCCTTGGCTAATATTGCAACAGGTATTGCATTATCAAATGGATCAAATAATTTTCAACACTCTACCTCTGATCAAAGCTAGATTATTGAAAATTATTTTCTCTCTGCTTTTTTCCTTTTAATATAATGTCAATAGCTGTTGTGGTGTTAGCCAAGAGAGTAGTTTTCAGTAGGGAATCTGTCGCTCGACTTTACTGTGGCAGGGACTTTGATATTTTCTTTTCCTTAATTTTTAGTTATAAAAATGTCCGATTGTAAAACCTCAGGACAACCAAATGAGTATACTGAGTTTTTTTTTATTAATTGAGGATTATGTGAACTTTGTTCAAACTATAGAGCAGTCCTTGTATTTTGTATTATAATTAAATCAGCTTTGAACAATAATCAAAAATCTAATAACTACCATATTGAACTATCAGAAATGATAAACTTAATTACTTTCGCAAATACTGAACAGTTCAACTCCACAGTATACTACATTCCTATTACTGAAGCTTTTATTAAGTTCCAAGATGCAGGTAACTTTATGCACATTGTGCCTAAAAGGTTAATAAATATTTTTAAATCGCTTTTAAAGATAAAGCAAGTAGTTCAAAGTAATATTCATAATTCAAATATATTTTTTGCATGCATGTATGTTACTTTATGCTATTTTATAGCTTAGAGTATTAAATAACGGTTCTCTCTTAAAAATATCACACAAGAACCACTGCATAATCACAAAAAAATTAAATTTAAAATAACTAACAATGTTTATGTTAAATTATATAAGATTAAATAAATAATGATTTAGAAATGTTTTTTACCATTTGATATATTAGCTCTGTTGACAGATTCATTAGGCCTTGGGTTTCGGTGCATGAATGGACAATGGGCTTTCAAGCATCCTACGGGTTGACTTTCCCAATAACATGGGATGGCTTTCCTATTCTTCCTTAACTCCATGTGACGGAAATTGCAATGGACATTAACACACTTGCCTTCCTTCCAATAACTGCACATTGTTTCACATCCTAAGGCTGATGGTTCATGGCGAAACGTGCAGTTATCTCCCTATAAATTTCAATAATGAATTTAATTTGGTTAACTTGGCAATGTCAATCTATTTACCTTAGCACATGTTGAGTAATAGTAAAAATAACAGTCGTTGTTTTTCTTCGGTGAATCCAGATCTGTCATCTTCTTGAAAAAGTTATCAAGACTAAAAACAAAAATAAAACAAATTAAAACACCCCGTAGATATGCTTCTATGGAAATAAAAATTTCAAAGCATGTGTTTACCAGTACAAATTTTCGGCCGGCATTGTGTAGCTTTAATTACACAGTTGAATCAACACTGTTAAATTAAAACTACTTTGAACGATGTAATATAAAAACAGTCTCGATTTCGTATCTATTTTTTTTTTTAAAAAACTTACCCAAAAAATTGTACTTTTTTGGCTTGCTGCTCGCTTGATAACTAACAACGTCACAAACGTCAAACTCAATGCTGCCAACATCCAATATAGTTTTTTCCAGAATAGCGTAATTTTGTCTAATAGTCCATTTTTAGCGACCAACGTAACAGAGACGGACACGCACATCAACCCATAAAAACAAAAATTGTAATTTATTTGTATATTTACACGATACACCTATAGTCCCTCATCTGACTGCAAAAAGAGGCATGTCGTGTTTTTTGCTTGCTTTTTTGTATTTGGGAGAGGGTTGAACAACATGTACTATGTCCCGGTGATTGGAGCTGTCGTGTGTAACCTGTCAAATTAAAAATAAAGTTTCTTATCGATAGATTTTTCATTTTTTTGCTGACTATGAAATAATTTGCTTCTAGATGTCTATAACACTATAAAATCCTTTTGCAAGCATTTTTTGTCGTAAGGTTTTGTTACTTCGATATAGAGAAGTTCCTATACTTACACTGAAAGTAGCAAAACCGGATAACAGTAAATGCTTGCAAAGCGATATTTTTATTGTTAGACGTCTAGAAACAAATTATTTCATTGCCAACGAAAAAATCCATCGATAAGAAATATTATTTTTAATTACACGACAGCTCCACCACCGAGTAGTTTGGGGAAATATTGCGACAACTCCACCCACAATGCGTTGGAGTGGGAAACAAAGGCACGAGGTTCGAGAAAGAATTTGAGGGGATGCTTGACGTGTCGCAATATATACCGAAACTATTCTACAAGGTGTTCATCGACTCACTACAAATAGCAAGCACAAACCTTAGAATATAAAGTCAAAAAACAGGATATGACACTATTTGCAGTAGATGAAGGACTTTTTACACCGGTATATGCTATACCCCAGACAGCACACAAAATCCTTTGGATATCTACTGAACATCCCAATATCCACTGAATATCCAGTCCATGGTGAATATCTATTTTATAACCATGAGATGTAATTTATAGACATGCAAATGTCCATAAATAATAGTAATTATATAGCAAATTATTAAAAAATTACGCCATTGTGCTCGCCATTGTTGCTAAATAGTACCGTTCGGATATTTAAAATTAATTTTTTTAAGGTGTATTCAATATCCCATGGACATACATCCACTACATAATCAAAGTCTAGGCGCGAACGCAAACCATCGTGGATATCCACACTAGTTATTTGAGTTTGCTTACTAAGGGTCGATTCCACCGTTGTGTTAAACGGAGATTAAAATGACATTGTTAATGTAAAAATGTCAGTTTAAACTTCGTTTAACGCAACGGTGGAATCGGTCCTTAGTATGGCGATACCACTTTCGCATCTACTCATGCTCGACCCGCCGTAATTGAGTTAGATCGAAATTTGTGTCCTAATCAGACTCTGCTATTTTCTTTCGACGTTATTCAATAATCATTGGTTACTTATGAACCTCTACTAAAGATACCCACAAAATATTTTGCGACGAAGACAAAGTTATTCGAGCTCGTATACGAGTCATGTTCGTGATAACTACGCACCGCTCTAAATTAAATCCAAACTGACACAAAAGAAGAATTGAATGCTTCGATATAGGTAATTTTTTCCAAGGTCTACTTTAGATCCAATTTTGTGGATAACTCTTTATAATATAATTTCTTGGTTGCTACAAAAAAAGGTGACCGGTCGAATTTGTAATCTACGTGACGTCATATATCGTGTGACAAGGATATAGAGATAAACATGTGCAAGAAGATGCTGTGCCAGACAACACACCAAATCCCAGAGATATCCGCAGAATATCTTTTGTGGATATCCAATATATCCACAGGATATCAGAAATATTCCGTGGATCTAGTATGGATATCCAAATGTCCGTCTATATCCAGGATATAGAAGATATCCTAATGGATATTCAGCAAAATATCTAATATGGGTATCTTCCAGAAAATACAAGAAATCACAGAGATATCCACAGAATATATTTTGTGGATATTCAATATATCTAATATGGATATCCAACCGCAAATGTCCGTCTATATCCCAGGATATAGAAGATATTCAGCAAAATATTTTATGGGTATCTTTAAGTAACCAATGATTATTGAATAACGTCGAAAGAAAATAGCAGAGATAAAAAATATTTTCAACACTCAAAATATTTTCAACACTCGCCTTTGATTTTGCCCACTAAGGAGAAAGTCATCCTTATTAGGACTCTTCAGCAATAAATGAAAATTCTCGACTCGTCTCTAATGGAGTGATTAGCACACACTTTTCGATCGAACTCAATTACGGCGGGTCGAGCATGAGTAGATGCGATAGTGGTATCGCCATCTATACTTAGTAAGCAGAATCAAATAACATCTAGTGGATATCCACGATGGTTTGCGTTCGCGCCTAGACTTTGATATATTTAGTGGATATTCATGGGATATTGAATACACCTTAAAAAAATTAATTTTAAATATCTGAACGGTACTATTAGCCACAATGGCGTAATTTTTTAATAATTTGCTATATAATTACTATTATTTATGAACATTTGCATGTCTATAAATTACATTTCATGGGTATAAAATAGATATCTACCATGGACTGGACATTCAGTGGATATTGGAATGTTCAGTAGATATCCAAAGGATTTGGTGTGCTGTCTGGGGTTGTAAGTGTATCGTGGATGTTTTGGAATTATTGGAGTAAAACATAAATTTATTTATACCATTATATTGTTTTATTAAGTATATCTCTACAAAAAGGGTTATTTTATTTTTTTCAATTTAAAAATCTATTATAAAAGTAATATTGTTGGAACAGGAAATTTCCAAAAAAATACAATAGAAACAAAACATTTCTTCACGGGTTTATAAACAAACTATTAAATGTAATTGTCAGTCGTATTTAAGGCTAAATGCATTAACACTTTCACTACCCACAACGCGACTCTCGAGTTTGGCTGAGTCAAATCCATGTGCCTACAATGCGGCTATACCGCGTTCCGGATATATTGCAACGTATTTGTGTTGGGCACTCTGATAAGACTTTTTCCTACGACCACTTAGGAAAGTGACACATATCACACTATATAGACCTATGGAAAGTGCCCTATATCACACGCGTATGAATAAGAATTTACTTTCCACCCAAGTGAGAATATGCTACTTTCCGCAGTAGCTGTCAGAAAATGTCAAACACATAATTTCTATTTTGATCTATGTAATGTCCATATTAATACTAAAATCGATATGATTGTTAAATTATTGTAAATTAGATCCTAGATATTTATCTTTAACAATTATTTTTAAAATAATTTTAAAATAACTAAGATATATTTGCTTTTTATTCTGGTTAAACACATAAGCGATTAGATCAATCAATTACCGTAAGGCCTGTTAGCTCAGTTGGTTAGAGCATCAACTTTGCAATTTGAGACCGTCCAACGACCGCGATCGAATCCTGGCTGTGCCAGAATTTTTTTTTTATTTTTTTTTATTTGTTTAGAAATTATGAAAATTTAATAAATACGATTATTGTTGATTATTTTTTTAAATACATTTTAATTATTATAATAATCTGGTTTTACATTTTTTGATGAAATTATTTTGTGGTCGTAGAAAAAATATTGTACATCACTTGTGTGAAAAGTGATTTCACACTCGTAATGTAATATACTATTAAATAACTGAAATAGTGAAATATTAGTTGAATTTACTTAGAATATAGTTATAGATGGAGATTTTGTTACCAACGAATTTTTTTATGGTTCATTTTTTTATTTTTAATATTTTGGTTAATTTGTGATTTTTACCAAGAATTACAGCATTTAACTTTATTAATATAAAAAGTATAATTTTGCAAAAAATCAAGATCGAGTCTGCCACATTGTGGGCAAGCCATTTTTTTATAGCTGGGTGCCCTCAAAGCGTCTTCCGCGTTTTCTTTTACCAGTTCACCAAATTCTATAAAAGGAAACCTATTTTCATACTACAAATAAAATAAGTAAACCTATATCTGTATTTGGGCACCACACATATGTGCAGGCTTGGAGAAAGGGGCAGTGAAAGTGCTAAGACATGTGTTATATACATCCCTGTAGAGAAATAGGTAAAAATTCTTTTGGCTTACAAATGTATAAAAATTTTAATTATTGGGAATTCTTCAATTCTGCCTTGACATCTTTCTCCAAATGTATATTAACTTTCCATTTCTTAAAATGATAAAGAAAATAACACTCAAATTAGAACAAAAAAAAAATAGATCCCAATTAAGTTTTTCATTAATTAAATTAAAAAAATAGTTCCACCAAAATGGAAAAACTGATATGTATTCCATAAAAAATATCAAATTATCAAAAAGTTCAACATTTAATCTGATTGTACAAGTTTTCTTGCAAAACATTTTTAGATAAAATTATATGATAGTGTCCCCCTATCAATATCCACAATTATATTTAATGGGACACATGGCTAATTATATGTTTAGCCTCAATAAATCATGCAAAACTTCTATTCTGATACTATTCATCAATCATATTAAACATTAGGCAGCACTATATCATATCATTTTGAAGCTCAATACATAATTATATCCTATTTTAAAAATAAAAATTAATTTCGAACTTCACGAGCTCGTCTTCTTTCATTGTAGATTCTATCTTCCATACCATCACTTTCTGTAACAAGGGCTCGTTCTAGAATAACTCTACCTTCTTTATATTTTTGATTATCTTCTGTAGCGAATTCATACATCCATCCTAACTTTGTGTCACAGGATTTACAAGACACATCTCTTACCTGTAAATATTGCAAATTTTACAGATGTTTAATTAATATTATTATGAAAAAAGGTGCATACCATATGACGCCCTGTCAACATAACTCTATCTTGGACTTCACTATATGTCAAATTGACAACCCTATTGAATAGGAAAGCTCTACCTGTAGCCCCAGTAAATCTTGTGCTTATTAATTCTGAACGATTTGTTAAATTCGTGCCACAATTAGCGCAAGAGAATAGACGATTTCCACCCATATGTTCCAAAAAAACTCGACCCATTTTCTATAAAATTTTATTAAAAAATTAAAACAGTAATCATGTTATTCTGATTCAGCGATTTCTGTCTTACCTTGATTGTATGATACAAATTTAGACCAACTGAATTTCAAATAATGCAAAAATGTACGTGTTTTTAATAATATACAATATGAAAATCTCTACGATGAAAACAAAACAAATTACGACGTAGAACAGCTGACCTATATGACAATAAAAACTGACAGCCATCTGCCATCTGATCTGGCAGTTGACACCGCGCAAAGCTGAAAACTCAAAAATAAAATACTTTTTCTCTATCAGTCTTGTTGTAGAAATAAGGAACAACGATGTAGAAGAATCTGTTACCATAGTAACAGGGACTTTTTCGCGATAAAAGAAATATTTTAATTGTGACGTATTCCGCCAAGCCAGTATTGCCGTTTCCAGTATATTTTTTTAGTATATCCTACATTTTTGGAATTTCTAAGTTTATGTATTTTAAATCTATTTTCAATCTTAAAAAAGACAAAAGAGCAAATTACACATCCGATTCATTTTTTTTAGCATTATCGAGATACGTTGTGGAGGCGCGCTTGTTTGTAGTTCTTGCTGGTCAGTGCGGATTTTTATTTTTTAAGCCTCATCAACTACCGGGCTATTTGACGTTTCCCAGTACCACTTTAGAAACAGCTCTGGGTCAATTATAACCCAACAGCAGTGAATGGTCGAGTTTGCAATCCTACCTCTGCTTCAGAATTAATTCTTACAAATTTTACAAAAATCCCGGTCAACGACAAGATTCGAACTCCGAACTCTTGGATTCGAAAAAGCAGGACTATTGCTGCGTTTGAGAATCCACATCGGATGCATCTGAGATGTAAAAAATCTTTGATCACGTGATTCAGTATACGCAAATGTAATGGGACAGATGTGTCCGATGTGGATAAAAAAACGCTCGAGATGTAAAAAATGCATCCGATGTGGATTCTCAAACGCGGCATATATATAACCACTGAGCCATTCATCCCGCAGAGGATAATTAGGAGATTAGTGGTAATTCTGTAATTCAAAACGTTTATTTTTACCGGGTGTTAAATTTTATGATTTTAACATAAATTGTAATTTTGTAAAAATAAAATTAACGCATACGTTAAATTTTCAAATAAATAAACATACAAAAGTTATAGTTTAAATTTGGATAATTTTCTCACCCAGCTAAAATCTGATAATTTGGACAATAGATCTAATTTGGATCTAATCTACATTTAATTATTTCCTACCTGTGATTACTTACTACAAAAAATAATTTCCTAGAAGTGTTTAGTACAAAAAATATAACGGCAACCCGGCAACACTGTGACAAGCCATCAAATTTATCCACTTTGCATGAACGTCATTAGTCATACTTATTAAATTTTCCTTTTTTGGAAAAAAATTGCAGTGGTTATCATTACAACACCAAATGGCTCGTTTTTTCATCAGTAATGATTACTAAAAAACCTACATCAAACGTAAAACAGTGGTTTAAACGTGGTGCAATAACTCTAATCGTAGGAGAAGGACTTTGCTTTATTGGAAGCTATTTTATTTGGCGTAAACTTAATACTGAGAGAGGTGAGTACTTAACACAAAGTTTAGAATAAAACATTCATTTTGTTTCTATTAAATTTTTAGATTTCCGAAAATATTTTCACGATAACTTCCCGCCTATCCTTGAGAGCTATTATAAAATAGGAGAAATTATTGATTCAAAAAATCAAATACGACAAATTGATCTGGATTACTGGAACAAGGAGATTTAATGGCCAATAGATGGGTAAGGTCTCTCTTTTGGATAGTTGCTTGTGGTGGACTTAGTTATGGTTTATTAGTACTTACTACCCAATCTGAAGCCGATGTTAAGAAACTCAGAGAGGTATATGATAAGATAAATTGATTAATATCTAAAGATATTTTGACTACCGAACTGTGAGGAAATAAATAGCAAAATATTTTTGTTAATTCATTTCAAATTGCCATAAAAAACTATCTTGAACTCTGTGTGTTATGAGGAAGTGGCTTAGCCCATCCTGCTAACTTTTTCATATTGAAGTGTTCTGAATTAGTATGAATATTTTTTCAACTTAAAAATTCAGGTAGAATAAAGTAGAGACTACAAAAACTATTTTGCAATATGACAGATGGATACACTTTGAGTGAAGGAAAAGTGTAATGAAAATGGTGACAAGTGGTACTTTGATTTCTTTTGAACTGACTGAAAGAAAATTATTTTATATAATTTAAATGAAGCTATTTAACAAAAATGGCATTTTCACCAAAACTGACTAGCTTCATTATCTCGAGTTTGACATATGACAAAAATATAATGCATAGGTGCCATCACTTTACATTATCATATCTCCTCTTTATTCTATCTCAATGGGCTTAAACTAAATTTCATGTTGGTTATGATTACAAATTATATTTGGGTTGGTTGCATTGTTTTTCTGCCAAACCATTGTTTCACTTTTGTCAATTTTTAATAACTTTTTTTTAGCATATAGCTACAGAAAAAAAAGAAAAGCTAAGTAAGAATCAACAGTTTATGAATGTACTGAGTGCTGCTTCTGAAAATAAAAAACCAATTTATCGTATGCCAAAAGAAGAAATTGAAAAAGAAATCAAGAAAGACTAAACTTAACTTATCCACTATGAACTTTAATGTACCCATTGATCCTTCAAATGAAACTACTAACAGATTAAACCAATTAACCCAAAGAGAAGTAGAACGCCAAGTCAACTTACAAAAAAAGAAAGATAATAAAGGTTTGCTTGTTGCTGATAATGAAAAATTGGAATTTTTTGAATCATTGTTTGCTGAAAAAAGATTGTATATAGAACATTTAATTGATTTGTCCAAAGGTATCCCAGTTAAGGACCTCCCAGACCATTTTAATCAGATTCTAAAAGACATAGGCACTTTACAGAAATATGTAGCAGCTTCAAATATTTTCATAAGAAACTATGACGTAGAGAGGTGTCAGAATATACTACAGGATCTAACAGTAAAATCCAAACAACTTGAAGATGAATTATTACCTAAAAAGAAATTTTCTTTTAAAAACAGAGTCAAACAGAAACCACAAACATCACAACAAACTCCCAAAGGCAATGATGTAGTCGATTTTAAAGTTAAAATTGAACCAGAAAAACTGACTAATGGTTTTTTTAACAGATGTAACGAGTCTTTGACATTAAAGGGTGATGATCTTTTGAAAAAAGATATAACACTAGAAAAATTAGAATCTTGTATAATTTTTTTGAAAGGTATGCCCTCAACCTTACATTTAAACCAACTGAAAAACTGTAAAGTATTCACTGGACCTGTTACTACATCTATATTTGCTGAACATTGTGAGAACTGCACCTTAGTTATAGCTTGCCAGCAGTTAAGATTACACAACTCAAAAAGAACAGACATCTATCTTTTTGTTACTAGTAGAGCTATTATGGAAGACTGTACTGAAATATCTCTAGCCCCTTACAATTGGATATATGAGGGCATTACAAGTGATTTTGAGAGTGCCTCTTTTGATACTGCTGTAAATAATTGGACCAGCATTGATGATTTTGATTGGTTGAATCAGAAACATTCTCCAAATTGGAAGGAAATTGAAGAAAAAGACAGGGTTCAAAGTTGGAATTAACTTATGTAGTTTGAATAGTTAACAGTTAATAAACAATAATGCTTCTGTTTAACTTTTTTTTTAATATATAACAGTATAACACAAATAGATGTACATTTTACTACTGTATAGTTCCCAATTACACCTAAGTAAAAATAATTTAAAATTTAATACTTACTATTGAATTTTTTCAAAAAGAAAAAATATTTAAAAAGAATGAACCTTTAATGCTGGTCTCTTTGCAAATTAGGTATATTAAAAATGCATTTGTATTACTTTGTAATTTATCAATGAAATAACTAATATATTATGTAAGTGTATTCTACATTAAAAAAAATAAAATAGGCCTATTTATACATCATAACCAACAATGTGGCGTTTTCCAATGCATTCTCCAACATAGAACCAGCATAAAACTTCGACTCCAACGAGGGTGTTCAACCAGGCTTCTTTAACAGTTTGGTTTTTCCATGATCCAGTTCTAGCTGCAGTGATAAGCCTACCAAGTCCAGCTCTAATCTGGGGAATATCAGCAGGAGTAGGAGGTGAGAGTTCTACCTTAGCGTATTTCATAAAGGTCATGAGTTTAGGGCGTCCTGCTTGCAGTAGCTCTAAAATATGAATAATTTGTTAATCCTTAACTCCAACTTTGAAGGTTAGGGTTACATAATATATCAAAGAAAAATAACTTACTTCCTGCTAAAGTTGGAATAGCAGCAACTAACTTGGACATTTTTAGTTGTTTTTAAAGAATCTTTTTTCGATTTTATTAATATTTAATGAAAAAAGAACCTTTTTACACTATTCCTACTCCTCACTCTCCCAAATAATCAATGTCATAAGTCATGTCAAACTAATGTCAATCTACTCGAAATTAAACTGACAGTAAATTATTTTCTGGGCATTTTTTAGAAAGTGCTAATTTCAAATTATTTGAAACTTAACTTCTCGAAAAAATGCCAGTCTTCTTTTTATAACTTTACAGCCTTCATCAACTTGAGTAGGAAACCAATCCTCGGGGGAAAATAAATAAGTTCCGTCGTTCTCTGTAATAAGATCCGCGTTGAGTGTATAAGTTCCGTGAATAGAAAAGAGAATTTCTTGTCAAAATAGTCAGAATAAATCAGTCAGTGATCAGTCACTAGTTCTATGATCGGACCTCTCTATTCCCTACATATAAAATTTAATAGTTCTTTTTTTAATAGCTGCTGCTACGCTTCTAGTGTTGTTCCTGCTGTTTTCCGATCAGCACTATGAGAAATGTCAGAAGTTGTTAATCTAAAAAAAGCAAAAATTACAAGATCACAAGAAAATTTTTTCTATTAGTTTAAAAATGGGTTACGTTTTTGTTTATGTGTTATGAAATAGGTCTGTGGCAGAAAACTTTTACATCTCTATTAGAAGACAGCTACTGTTGATCCTGATACCATTATAAATATTATCATGAAAACATGTAAAGGTATAGTGCAAAGTAAACACTGATTGTTGACACAAGTCGTAATGTTTAATTTAGATTTTAAACATGTTCTCAGAGCACAACACATCTACTTTATGTGTGTACCCCTGCTTATTTATGAAAGTAAAAAATATAATCTGTGAAAATGGAACCAGAAGAGGTAAAATATCCAAAGATTGTTCAAATGTTTTTAGATAAACAGTGCACCTTTTGAATTTCAGTTAAGAAGTGCATTATAAATAAGTTATAAGATGCCCTATGTGGAAATAGTGAAATGAATCAATTTGCAACCATTATGAAAGAAAGGGAGAGGGCAGATTCTTCGTCTTATGTTAAATCAGACATTCAAGATGACAATCCCTCAGACCTGGTTGAAGATGAAAACACACAACTTTCCCTTGACCCCAAGTTTCAGATGTACCTTGCTCAAATGTCACAACAATCTGGTTGTTGGGGCAAATATTTTCCAATACCGTTTGAAAGGGCAGCACAAAAATCTTGGTGGGATCCCACTTTTGATTCAGAAATACTCGAAGAACAGTTCAAAAAAAGTTCTAATAAAAGTAATAAAGTTAAATTCAGGTAAGAATTTTTTAATATATTTATTTGTTAATTGAAGGAATACCACTTGGGTAGTTGCATAAGTATTTAATTTTTTTAAATGAAATGAAAATGTTTCACAAGTTGTCTCAAATCAAAGCTCAGAGATGCTACTTTTACGTCTTACACAGCCAAGTCGCACAAAAATTCACCATTATAATTATTTAGTATCAAAAGTACAGCAATTAATTTCTAATACTTTTCCTTTCCCTAAGATTATAACTATTGATGTTTTACCCACCCAGCCTCCTATTCACTTCCTTTTCCATAAAATTAATGGAAAAAAATGGCATATTTTTATTTAAAAAAATTATTTGTGTCCCTATATTCATTTGCACAACATATGGAATTTGGTTTTTTGTTTACAATAGCAATACCTACAAGTACTTTTGCTTAGTTTTTGCATAATCAAAAAGAGCTCAAACTAGACATTTACCATAACTTGTTATAATCATAATCATTACAAATTCAGTGTTATTCACACCACAATATAAATATTGTAAAAATAATAAAATATAGGTATTATCAATATATGGCATGACAATTTAGAAACTTACAATGACTTTATCTCATGAACTGAAGCTGATATTAGTTAGTAAACAGTAAAGTAAAACAATTTATTTTTACAGGAATACAGCTTTGCAGATGACACTGTTGGGTATATATTACAAAAGTGACTTTTATGATCTCAAAATAAAGATAGAAAATGTTTTAACAATTTTTAAAAATGGTTAGATAATAAATTATTATCAATTCATTTCAAAAAGACAATGTACTTCATTCATTTATCATTGGCCTATAATGGTCTATAATAACATGTTAATTAAATTTCTAGAACATAACAGACTTTTAAGTAAATTTCAACATGATTTTTGCATAAATAAGTAAACATCTACTGCTATAGGGGAGTTATGTGATTTTGTTTAAACATCTTTAAATAACAAGGAATTACATTATACTTCGACCTCACACACACCTTTGACTCAATTGACCATCGAGTGCTAGTAGATAAACTGTACCAAATATATATAAGGGGCTCCCCTAATAAGTGGATACAGTCATATTTAAATAACAGTCAAACAAGTTGTAACCATTGGAAGCAACAAATCAAATAGCTGAAATGTAACAGTGGGAGTACTGCAGGGCTCAATATTGGGTCCTGTTTTATTCTTAGTTTTTAATAATGACTTAAGGTAACTGCACCAGTAATTGACACTATTAGACACTGATTTGTATTAAATAATTATTTTCACCAATAATACAAAAATTTAAGCATATAATACATTTTTTCCTTGTAGCTTATAGTTTCTCGAGTTCATTAGTGATGTATTTTTAGTTCTAATTATTTTGCTTTTCATGAAATAAATATTATAGAAAAAGTGTTTTGAAGTACCACTCATTGACACTTGATTTTTTCCATGTACCAGTAATTGACACACCAATTATTGAAACAAATTAAGGAACATTTTTTTATTATACCTTTAATTTTGAATACACTAAGTAAATAAAAATAAACAGCAAATTCATAACACAAAAATAAAAACAAAAAATGAAAATTTATGGGTACTTTAGACTTCAAAAATATCAATATTTTTTGGAAATACATATTTTATTCTGTCGCCGACACATGCAGTTCCGGTTGGGATAACTTTTTTATGATATCCTCTATCTTGATTATTGAAATATCACTATCAACTAGTTTGAAGGTATTCGTTTCATTTGTTGATTTAAGGGATATAACTTCAATATCGTTTCAGGGATATTTCTTCTGAACCACACAGATATACCTATAAAAATAAGTTTTTCGCAAAAAAAAATCTACATAGATATCGTCGTACTTGATTGGTATTTCGTTCTCTTCTTCATTTTCTAAATTGATACTGACATCATCAATACTGTCTCCACTTTCTATCCATTCTTCGTTGTCAGAATTTTCCCTCTTTACTGACTTAGCCTTGTTTTATATATTTATAATTTCTTTTTCGCTTTCTCTCTTCTGTCCGTTTTTGTTCTTGTTGTTTTCTCTTCTTCTCAGAATCCTTTTTTTGTGGTATTTTGGTGGTATGTTGATTTATAAAGTAACATTGTTCATGGAACAAAGTAAGTTTTAGCAGCTGTAGTTACTGGCATCCCTCTTGCTATAGCAGCAAGAGCTTCATCCAACTGAGCCTCTGTATAATTTTTTTTAGGTGCCATAACTGTAATAAAAAATGTGTCAATTACTGGAACAAAAAGGCTGTTAGATCTCATATTTAAATGGTATATTGCAGACTTTTTAGACAGTAAGACAACAGTGTATATCAGTATTTGCTTGTGGACCATGTTTGACAGGGTATGTCAATAACTGGAACATACTGGTTTTGCTTGTTCCAGTTATTGACACTTTAATAAAAATAAAAATGAGGTTTTAGGATTTACATGCATAAAAACCAGTAAAAACTCATCAGTGTTGTTTAGTACACCCCCAGGAATAGTTTAAATGAATTTAACATGAAGTAGAAATATTCAATTTTGTGTACTGACCTTATGAAATGTCTTAACATAAACACTCTATCCCTGCATGTGCTCTTTTCACCATTTTGTAACTGACCATGGTGCCACCTAACATCCATTAGGTAGGCTCCACGATTGCCAAATATTCTAATAATACCAATGTTTAAGACAAATTTCTCATATATAGTCTAATATTGTTATTTTTGAAGAATAATTGAACAAGTGTCAATTAGTGGGACACTGTCAATTATTGGTGAACTTACCTTAGCTCTATCTTGTACAACTCAAAATACTAAAATTATATATACAGATGAGACAACTTTTGGAACATCAGCCAAAAATGCATCTGTACTTCAATACATTGCTAATACTGCTGCACATGAATTTTATAGTTATTGTATTTATTTCACACAGCTTAAATGTTAATAAAAAAAAATCTAAAATCATGACCTTTTTGCCAAAAAATATAACAAACGATTTCAGCTATCTTGTCAAACTAAATCGTCAATCATTAGTACAAACAAATTCTAGCAAATTCTTAGGTCTAATTTTAGACAGCAAGTTGACATGGGAGAACCATATAGATCACATATCAATTAAATCAATTCTCTCTTATGGTCTGATTTCTTGGGGCAGCTCAGCTGATCTGGAGTGGGTATTCTGTGTACAAAAAAAGTTATAAGATGCATGGCTGGGGTTTCAAGAATAGCTAGCTGCAAACAACTTTTTCATGATTATAAAATCTTAACCCTTCTATCTGATCTGTGTATATACAGAGTTTCCGGAAATTAGATATTTTAACAGCATAATCTATATCCTAAAATATAAGTAAAAGTTCTTATAAATATAGGTCCGAAAACGTTTCGTTTTCGAGATAGAGGGTGTTACAAGTGAAGTCCTGAAGGCACATTTTTGTAAATATTTTCTAAAATTTCTTTAGTCACCAGTTTTCCAAAGTTAAAAAAAAAAAGAATAAAAATTTTCAGAAAAGATAAATAAATAAATAAAACTTTATTAAGGTTTGAAAAATCGTAGGTTCAATAAGAACTATTAAATTTGTTATTTTTACTTACTTTTTTTAGTATTGTATAAGTTGCATTATGTGTGTATCAAGAGTCTGCATGATTGTATTATACAGGGTGAATCCAAAGTTAATACTTTTTTAAACTGTGTATAAAAGTCATTAAAATGAACAACTTTTTCAAATAACTTTTCAAAAAAAATCAAAAATAAGAGAATTATTTATTCTAAAATGTATCCAATACGGTTCTGTCTAATTTACATGATAAAATTAAACGTTGATAACATTCAGTCCTTTGTAAGACCCATTCGCAAAACTGAACTTAATCTTTAAGTTGTAGCGCTTGAGCATGTTGAATGTGAAAGGGATACCATTGATTTTCCCAGAGTGTAGTCGACACTTTTTCGTTGACATCCAACCTGATCTACAATAACCTGCTGTATTATTGAAAATGTGTTCATCTATACCTACATTTCAATTTTCTATAAATACTGAACATTATTCACTTTTACAAAACAATTTTTTTTAATTCCAAATATTTACATATGGTACATATCTATGTGAAACCAACCAAATTTTCAATCATATTCCTCATATATCCTAGATTTTATCAACTTTTTTTGTCAATTTTCCTAGAGTATTGATTTATTTAAAAGACTTCTTTTAAAAAAATGTGATTATTGCAATAATAATAATAATAATAATAATATATTTTGAATATGCTACTTATTTTTTATTATTGCATATGTACAATTCTAGGATGATTCACTTAGTAAGCTTTCTATAATCATACATTTTTCCCTACTGCGCATAGTTGTTTTTCACTGAATTAATAATATTTATTGGTGGTATTAAACCACTTGTATTCCTAATATTTTATAAATATTACCATAGAAAAGGATGGAGCTTGTTTGCGCTCACTTTTATGTACACACAACAGACAGTAGTTTGATTGATTCTATTAGCCTTAAGTTCAATATGAAAATTTTAATATATTTTCATTTGATAATGTGTTTGAGTTCCATTAATATTCAAGATTTAAACGTTTTTCTTATCTTGAACTAGCGGTATTTTTAAATTAATGGTAACTAGCCAAAAAACAATAATAAAACATATTCTTTGACTGCAATATAAATAGATTGAAGTATTTTGGAGGTTTAGGTTTTATCGTTAATTTATGAAGATAAAATTTTAAAAACCATATTTTCATGCCAAATGTTATTTTTTTATTCGCTTTTAATGGAAAATCCTCAAAATATTTTGTTATATTTTTACAGCTATTGACATTGAAAATAAAATTTTTGCTTCTTTATGAAATTTTATGTTCCTTTATATTTTGAATCAGGAACAAACAATAATAAATATGCCTACTTACAGGATGTTATTTAAGTACTAAGTACCCTAAAATATTTCAATTAATGATTCTATGAAAAATTTTAAGTACAAAATTTAAAAGATGTTCAGTTCC